ACATGTACTAGGACTTCAGCATTTCTTTAGAGAGGTCACAGTTCAACCCATAATACCAAGGAGAGAGAGAAATAAGGAGATGAGGGAAAGGGGAAGAGACCATGAGATGTGGTAGGATCAATGGATTGTAGGTCCTAATGGTACTGAAGGGTGTCTGGAATTGAGATTCTAGAAATGGGGTAGAGATTAGAAGGTGGGATGTTTGAAACTGAGATTGAAGTGAAGTCGCTCAGTCGTGTCCGACTTTTTGCGACTCCATGGACTGTAGCCTACAGGGCTCCTTTGTCCATGGAATTTTCCAGGCAAGAGTAGTGGAGTGGGTGGCCATTTCCTTCTCCAGGGGATCTTCCCCACCCAGGGATCAAAGCCGAGTCTCCTGCATTGCAGGCAGATGCTTTACTATCTGAGCCACCAGGGAAATTGAGATTATGTAGAGGCTAATGTAATGAAAGATCTAGAATGATTTTAGAGTGAGTAACAGAGTAAAAGGCAGTGTCATTGGAGGAGAGGAGACTAAAGAGCCGAGAGGTCAAGGTATTGGATGGAGTATCAGTGAGAATCTCAAAATCCCCAGGAGTAAGACTAGGAGGAATCTTAGCGTGAAGTGGCCCAGGAGCGAAAATGTTCAAGGATCAAGGGGGGAGTAAACTGTGCGGTTGGAAGGTGCCTTCAGCAACAGTGGTAATGGGTGCAGTAGTCGGACACCACAAGATTCAAAGGTGAGGGAAGAGGGGAGGAACATGTTCTGGAAGCATTAATAAAGCGCTAAACACCTCCTGCCCCACCAGGGTCTGTGACATGAAGACTGGGGGGGGAAACTGCCACTGCTGGAAGCAGGGGCTGTAACGAAGAGACAGGGCTCAGTAAGATAAATTTAGTAGAAGGAATATTTTAAAGAAGACATTAAGGAAATATGATTTGGTTGATGACTTGTGTTCCAGAAGGACTCACGGTGGAAAGGTTTTGTGTGCTGGAGAGGAATGGAAGATTGAATCAGGAAATGTGATGTACAAATCAGTATAGGGATTAATGGCTGGATGTGAGGGATGTGTACGGAGACCATGGCTTATGATGAATGGCTTGTGAGGCTTTGAGTTTTAAAGGAAAGAGGAGTGGAGTTTTGCCTGGGTCACGTAAGATTTGGAAGCTCCTGTTTGATTTTGGTTTTTGGCTGACACACGGAGGCATGCAGGGCATGATCTGGCTCTAGCACAGGGACTCTCTTGACTGCTTTATAGCAATTATTAATATTCAAAATAATCTTATATATTCATTTACTTGTTTACATGTTTTCTTTCTTCCACATTAAAAATTACAGTCTTTGAGGGCAGGCTTACTGGCTATCTTTTTTATTTTTACATCACTGGTGCCTAGTAGTGAGCTTGGCATATAGCACTCAAAAACTGTATTGACTGGTGAAAACAAGATTACATTCTCTCAATATACTGGTGGGTTTAAAGCCTAATGAAGACATTCACTCCTTCAGTTAAACCCCACCTTCCTCATATCTTCAACTACTTCCTATCAGATTGTGTATCACTATTCAAACATGTACTTGTATCTCCCATCCTTAAAGTGAAAATCAAAAACTTCTCTGGAGCTTTTGTCTCTCTCCAGTCTTTCTCCAAGATAGTGTTCCAGTCTTCTTCATGGCCACATTTCTCAGAAGAGTTACTTGAAACAAGCTGTATCCATTTTCTCACATTCTATTTTTCCTCAATTCCCCTGCAACCTGAAGTTTCACCCCTGCCAAGGCAAGTCAACTGAAACTGTTTTTGTTATCATTAGCCTCTATGTTGCAACATCTGACAAAAATGTGCATGTGTTCATATTTATGAGACTTTTTGTAGTTTTTGCACAACTGAATACTCCCTTCTTGCTCTTGACTCTTATGATTCTAAAACTCCCTTGGATTTTCTCCTAAGTCATTGTTTGTTTCTTTTACATATCCTTTATTTTCTTCTTTTCTATCTAACCTTTATATGCTAGGATTTCATTTTTAATTTTGTAGGTAATATTCATTTACTGTAGTTGTAAGTATCTTCTATACGCCAAGACTTCCAAAAATGTATCTTCTACTCAGACCACTGTCCTGAACTTCTTAACATCTTTATTTGGATGTTTCCAAAGCATCTCACACTTAAAATGTTCAAAATAGAGCTCTTGGGCCCTGTGTCCCTTCTCCATGCTAACATCCACCATGATACTCTTCTGTTTCTCATTTTAGTAAATAGCGCTACCACACTCCCAGTCAAAATTCTGGGTCTTTGTTTCTCTGGTGTCCCTCAGCTTATCCTCCTGTCCATGCAGTCCATCAGCTTGTCCTATTGAGCCTCTCCTTACAGAGTTCCAAGTTATCAATTGCTTACCACGTCTTACTTTACACTCCTTCCCGGTCCAAGCAGCATGATTTCTTACCAGTTTTCATCCTTGCCCAGCCTCCCCTCTGCCTTTTTAAAGAGCAACCAGAATGATCTGCTTAAAATAGAGTGCAGACATGTCAGTCCTCTACTTAAAACATATGACCAATTTTCAGTATACTTAAATCTCCAAATCCTTAACATGGCTTGCAAGACTCAGAACGTTCCGATTCCTGTCGCATCTAATTGGTGCTTATCTCCATTCCAGGCTTAAGGAAGTGCTCCCATGTTGTTCCTTCTGTCTGTAATGCTCTTCTCCCAGTTCTTCATCTGTCTAAATATTGTTTTCAGATCCCAGCTTAAATGTTATCTAAGCCTTTGGTTTTTAATATAAGTTGCAGAGATATTTATTAAAAACAAGTAATTAGACTTAATTTTGCCCTACTTGATTACCAGCTCTTTCGTAACACGTCTACCCCTCTGTGAGTTGTTTTGATTATTCTCTCAATCATTTGTCATGTTTTCAAGAAAAAATTTCTGGACAGTTGTATGTGTAGTATATTTTTTCTAAGTAGTTTTATGTCTGAGAATATGTCTTCATAAGAAATGAGAGCTTAGTAGTTTTTAAAATTTTATTTACATAGTGATCTGATGGTTCCCCCTGACCCATGTCTTTCCTTTCATAGACGTCACGCCCCAGTAATCATTTTAGGTTCCTCACTTTTCTCAGTGTCTGCTTCCTGAAACCCTCCTTAAATCTATTGGTCAAACAACATCTGTACCTGCATACACTGCCTTGCTTGATTGAAATGGATGGACTGCCAACTCAGGCCAAATCCTCCCTTTGTGCACCAAATGCTATTGTTTCTAAACCACTCCATTTTTCTGCTAAAGTGTATTCCCCCTCTCTTCTACATCATCAATTTTTCTTTCTCTATAGGATACTTTTTTTTTTTTACCAACTTACAAACATATTATAAAATTTCTCAACCTAAAAAAAAAATTGCCCATTGATCATATATTGCCCTTCAACTTCTGATTTTTTTTTTTCTGCTCTCTATAGAAAAACTCTTAAAAGAACTGTCTGTCTCTGTTTTGTCCCTTCTCATTTTATCTTGAACCAGCTCCAGTTAGGCTCTGTCCCTCTGTTTCCTCCTAAACTGTTCTTGTCCCATCTCCACTTTGCTTCGAGTCTCGGTCTTATCTGATCTGCTCTCTCAGAAGCATTTAACACTGGACCATTTCCACCTTTTGAAACACTTCACTTAGTTTTCAGGACCCAGTCCTTCTGTGCTTTTCTCTTCACTTCCCTGGCTGCCTGCAATCAGTCTTGCTTAATGAATCTTCCTTATGTTCCCAAATGTCCCAAGACCCATTTCTGGTCTTCTCTGTCTGTCTCATGGATTGAACAGTCACAAATGCACTTACCGGTTCAGGTTCATCTTACTAGCCTTCACTGTTCCCTGAACTTCAAAATTCATATATTCAACTTCTGGATTTTTCTTGGTCTATACTTGGTGCCCCTTTCCCAGGTGGCTCAGTGGTAAAGAATTCACCTGCCGATGCAGGAGATGTGAGTTCAGTCCCTGGGCTGACAAGATCCCATAGAGGAGGAAATGGCAACCAACTCCAGTATTCTTGCCTGGAAAATTCCATGAGCAGAAGAGCTTGGTGGGCTACAGTCTATGGGGTCACAAAGAGTCAGACACGACTGAGCAACTGAGCGTGTACATGCATACTTGATGTCTCTAGGCTTACCATGCCCAGAGAAGGAGGCATCGGTTTTGATAATTTGAGAACAGTACTATTCAGCAAGTTTTTATACTTTTTTAATATTTATTTTTATATGTTTATTTATGTATTTGGCTGAACCGTGTCTTAGTTGGGGCTTGTGAACTCTCTTAGTTGAGGCATGTGGAATCTAGTTCCCTGATCAGGGCTTGAAACCCAGCCCCCTGCATTGGGAGCACAGAGTGTTAGCCACTGGACCACCAGGGAAGTCCCAAGTTTTTCTGTTTTTTAAGTTTAGAATTGTACACAATATTTTAAAAATAATTTTGTTTGGATACTGTTGTTTGTTTACCTCATTTATTTTCTTTCTTTCCATTGTATGATTTCTCAGAGAAAGGTTTGAGGTTGCTTTATTTATTTTTAAGATGGTAATAGTCAATTTTTTGGATTAACCAAAGAAATTGTAACATATGGGAAGAGTATATACATCAAAGTCAGAACTTGACTAAAGTTGAGAGTGCATTGCATTATTTACTGGTCATACAATCTATGTTTTACAAAACTCTTAGATGTTAGTTCCAGTATCTGTAAGATATATACTTAAAAGATATATAGCAAGATGCATGTGAAGACATCTTCCCGAAATCTTAGAGCTGGATAAACGTATTTTCCTGTGATGATCAGAAAACAGTAAACCCTCCTTTCCCATGAAACAGATTGCTTTACTTAAAAAAAAAAAAAGTATTTACTAGTCACAGTAATTCAGGATCTGTGTTACTAATTTTCAGGTGTGTAATTTAAGGGGTTTAGTTTGGTGAAAAATTATTTTATCTCCCAGTGATCATTTAAAAAAATTGTTGATAAAATATATGCTTTATCTCTTCTATAATTTTACCAGTTCTAAATATTATGCTTATTAGCCTTCAGTTTCTAGAATCTATTTTTTTATGTTTTGAAAATGAAAACATCTGTGCATCTTCAGTCTTCTGTCATGTCTTGTGGTCTCCATTTCTCAAAATTACTGACAATGATTCTGTCATTACATCACCTAATATTATGTTTTATACCCATGGTTGTAATTTATCTGTGGCTAAAGACTTTAACCAGTTTAATAGAACTATGTGTGTTCTTACTATGCTTCAGTTTTCTTATAATCATGTTTATTTAACTCTCTTAAATTTGGAAATTATTCTTCTTAATGTATTTACCCTTCACAGTAGTTAATAAGTTTACTACCACAGAAAATAGGTTTTTCTTTTTATTTTTTCCACATCCAGTAAAAATATCCAATATCACTTTTGTTTTAGATGGTAGTAAAGAATACATTGTAAAGAAAGATTAACCATCCTTGTTTGCCTATTATTATATTTAAATTTAGATAAATTGTATGTTTCAGTGAAAGGTATTGAACATGATTAGTTTTCTCTAAACATGATCCTGTTTTGCAGGATTAAGTACAGACATATAGATCAATGGAACAGAATTGAGCATCCAGATATGGACCTACACTTATGTGGTCAGTTGATTTTCAATAAAGGTATCAAAAAATGTCAATTGGAAGAGAATAGGCTTTCCAAGAAACGTTTCTGGAATAACTATATACCCACATGGAAAACAAATGAACTTTAATCTCTCTTCACTCCATATACCAATATTAATTCAAAATAGATCACCAACCTAAATGTAAGAGCAAAAACACATACATCATGTAGAACAAAGTATAGGAGAAAAACTTTGTGACCTTGAGACAACACACAAAAAGCATGAACCATAAATTTAAAAATTGATAAATAGACTTAAAAAAGTTAAAATTTGTTGCTTGTTGATATCATTAAGAAAACGAAAAGGCAAGCTACAGCTTGGGGAAAAAAATATTTGTAAAGCATATATCTGACAAGTGACAGATACTAGTATACTCAAATTAGAATATCCCAAAAAGACTGAAATGTCAGGCGTTGGTGAAGATATGGTACAACCAAAACTCTCATACACTGCTCGTGAACGTGCAAAGTGGTGCAGCTACTGGAAACAGTTTGTCGGTGTCTTAACAACTGAAACATGCACCTACTACATGACCCAGTGATTCTACTCCTACGGGTTTACCTTAGTAAAATGAAAATATATGTCCACACAAAGATTTGTACACAAATGTTCATAGCAGCATTATTCATAGTGACCAAACAATAGGAACACTCAAATACCTATCAGCTGGTCCATGTGTCAACAAAATGTGGCCTATGCATTCAACAGAATACAACTGCAAATAAAGCAAAATAAACTATTGACACAGAGCAATGTAGAAATATCTTAAAAATATAAAGACAAGTAAAAAAATAAATGACACAGAAGACATAGGAAATATGAACGTGAAGTCCTGGAAAAAGCAAAATACAACAGCAGAAGGCAGGCCAGTGCTTGCCTTGAGGCTGGGGGTGAGGAACAGCTTGATTACAAAGGAGCACGAGGGAATTTGGGAGGGTGAGTAAAGTTCCGAAGCTTACTCCTATAGGACTAGCACAGCTTTGTATACTTACTAAAACCATACTATTTTACACTTAAAATGGGTGAATTTTATGTTATATAAATATGCTTCAAAATGATCTTAAAAGTATATACATTAAGCCTCAAGGGAGTTTTTTAACAAAAAAAGAGAATTGTTATTCAGCAAAAAATTTGTTGCTGATAAGCATCAATTTAAAATGCCTAAAAATAAGTAAATAAATAAAATGCCTACCAATCCATTATCTACAAAACATAATTATCTTTGTGTAGTCTAGTTTTACTGTTTTAAAAACTTAATCATACTATAAATAATTTGATACTTAATCATTATTTGAGTAACAGACTATGAATTGTGGGATTATGAATTTAATAGTAAACTTTACAGTAAAATTTATTTGAAGTTTTTTTGTTTCTTAATCTCATATGTATATAACACAGTCGAGAACGTGTAAATAATAAAAATATATTTTGTATAGCTCATTTTGAGATCATAATGTCTATACATTAAAATTATAAAGACATTTTTAAGAGAAGTGTTGGTTAAGTCACTGAAAAATATAGTATATTATTTGCTAAAATTAATAGAATAATTTACACATGGAATAAAAATGTAAAATGAATGTCTATGTTTAGTTGTTTATTACTTTTCATCATCTTTACCACTTCTACCTATTATCATCTACTTTTTTTTTATCATCTACTATTAGATGAATACATTTTTTATTTACTTCTTGTTCTGGACCAAAATTTCTAATTATATGAATTTAGGAGCAGTCCAAAATAATGGCATTTCTGCTAACAAAGAAATGAACACATTGCCAACTGTCAATGCATTTCAGAAATGGTTTTCAGCAATAATAGCTGGTGAATTGTATTAAAAATAATTTAGGTAGATGTATAACAGTCCCTTAACATTTAAAATAAAAAATTCCAGGGCTGTATATAAAAAAATATTGGGGGATGGGGAGAGAAAATTTTCCTTTTAGCTAAATATAACATAAAATAACTTGAAGTTAAATCTTATCTTCAAAATGCCATTTATTTTATGACAATTATCTTGAAAATAATCATTTGCCTCAGTTCAAAATATAAAGCAAGTTTAAAAGATTAGGAAGAATATGGGAAAATGAGAAGATGAAATACTACACCTCATTTTAAGAAGTTCCTGAAGGAAATGGTGGAATTATTTACTATTTCATAGAGTTGTCTTCCTAGAAAAGAATTGCCTGGAGTAAATTTGTCATTTTGACACAGGTGACCTCAGTTCTCAGTACCAATAGTCAAGCTATATGACTGTGAATGGTCTCAATTTTCTATCCCAGGATAGGGTATGAGGTAAGGAACCCCATTATCCTCAATTCCAGAATTGAAATGCCTCATCCTTTTCTTAAGGGCCCAGGATTTTGGAAGCCAAAAGCAAGGAAGAAAAGTTAAGGTTATTTACCAAGTACCTCCTTTGACAAATGAAATGTGTGTACTTAGTTGCTTAGTCATTTCTGACTCTTTGCGACCCTATGGACTGTAGCCCGCCAGGCTCCTCTGTCCATGGAAGTTTCCAGGCAAGAATACTGGGATGGGTTGCATTTCCTACTCCAGGGGATCTTCCATACCTAGGGATTGAACCTAGATCTCTTGCATCTCCTGCACTGGCAAGTGGATTCTTTACCACTGTGCCACCTGAGAAGCCTGACGAATGAAATACTTGATTTTTTTTTTCTGATGGGGCATGGGTTGCTGAAGGTGAAGACCAAATGGAAAGGGAATGGGAGCTGATTTTCTGTTTTTTGATCTTGTCACATTCGTACAAGTATAAGTGATGTATATCTAGAGAAGAGAGTATACTAAAGAATGAGTTTTCGAAGTTTTATGTGGGGGGTGTTTTTAATGTGCTGATCTTTATCACAGTGTTTTAAGGGAAGTAGTTCACTGGATCTCTACCTACTGTAGCAGTTTGAATTGCTCAGTGTTTCTCATCCTTCCCAAATTCCCTGGACTCTGGAATTTTCTCCATGCTGCCTCTATAATTATAGATACTAGAAAGTAATTTCATTTTTTCTCTTTTTCCTAGACTGGTGTTTGCAATGTTTTTCTTATCAAGTTGGGCTCCAGCCATCTACTTTACATGTAGTTTCCTTCACCTGAAACAACATATTCCAACATGAGGAAACATACAAGTGAAATGCTTCTTTCAGGTTGCAAGTTCTGTAATTGATTTCTTTGTTCTCCTTCACTAAGAATCATAGAGCAAACTTACTTGAGTCAAGTGATATCTGTATTTTTCTATTAGTATATGTGATATTTATTTATTAAATGAACACTTCATAGCTACTAAAAATCATCATAAAAGTGGAGCTTATAGTTTTTAAGAAAAGTAATTCAGTGATGAAAGTATTGGAGAGGTCCTTATCTTTTCTCTTTCCTGCCTAGACTGTTGTTGTTTAGTTCCTAAGTTGTGTTCAACTCTTTGGGACCCTTTGGTCTGTAGCCTGCCAGGTTCCTCTGTCCGTGGGATTTCCCAGGCAAGAATGCTGGAGTGGGTTGCCATTTCCTACTCCAGGGGATCTTCCCAACCTGAGGATAGAAACCTGGTCTCCTGCATTGCAGGTGGTTTCTTTACTGCTGAGTCAAGGGAAAGCCCCGGCCTAGACTAGTCCCTTCAAAAGTATTGAGAGTTTCAACTATTTTTTTTATGTATGAGTTACAGTAATAATGCATTTATTGATGTAGTATTTATTGATTATTAAAGTATTTATTAGCATTACCACAGGATCTTTCTAATTTTACAGTTTTTCTACATGCATAGGAAACACACATATACACATTTACACACATCTTGGATTTGAGTCAAACTATCAAACTTAAAATTTTGACTCTTTAGATACAAGGCCTTGAAGAAAATTAACTCCAATTACTAGGATGTTTAAAATGCTCAGAACTCCCCCAAAGAGAAAATTTTTATGATCTTCATGAGCAGTACAATCACATGGATACAGAAGGGAAGTAATTTCTCCCTGATTACTGCTGAATCTCAAAGGCAGCAAAGGAATTAACTCAAGAGTTTTGAATTACTTTACTATAGGATTGCAGTTGTGCATCCCTATTAGAAATACAGATTTCTTATTTAAAGTCTATCTTCAACATCAGATGTTTCTGGACAATATTACATTAGATATAGATACTATAAAATTATAGTAAATAATGATATAAAATGGATACTTTTAAAATTACTTGTTTAGATTTAACTGGTATTTATCAAGTATCTACTAAGAGTCAAATACCTTCACTTTTTTTAATCTCATCCAATCTGATCCTCAAAACATTCATCAACCCTTTTATTGATTGTTTTGTATCCCCTCCAAATTCATATATTGAGGTCCTAAGGCCCAGTACCTCAGAATTTGGCTGTATTTGGAGATGGGGTCTTTAAAGAAGTAGTTAAGTTGAAGTGAGATTATTAGAATGGGCCATAACCGTGTAAGACTTATGTCTTTATGAGAAGAGATTAGGACATACGCACATAGAAGACTATATGAAGCACAGGAAGAAGACTGCTGTTATAAGCCAAAGAAGGACTCCACAAAGGAAGCCAACACTGCCTTCAACTTGATCTCAGACCCTAGTCTCCAGAATTGTGAGGAAATAAATTTCTCTTGTTTAAGCCACCCAGTCTGTGGTACTTTGTTGCATCAGGGTACCAAACTGACATACTTGTAAAGCTATGT